TAGGTGTGACCTGCCGTGTAAAAACGCTTTGAGTAGTCAGAAGACTAGAAAAGCTCTTTACAAGCTCAAGTCCATTTACCATTTAGGTAGGGTTCAGTGTGGACTTTACACAACGTGTACACAGCTGCTGACACTGACTCCAACTCTGATTCAAAAGCTTATTTGAAAACAGCAAAAATAAAGTGTCCCAATCAAACATAAAAACCAAAAGGAAAAACATGCACAGGAGATGCTTTATGCGCTCGCAGTGCGTGTGAAAATACCTTTTTGTTGTGTTACCCTGTGCACACATACCTCTAAGTTGCGAGTTGTAAGACACGATACACTTTGTTTTCCCCCACCGTAAATTTGTCTTGGACTCAAATTGCTATAAAAATTCAACTGCCTCGACCGTAGAGTCAATAAATACAAACAATAAAAACAAACTCAATCATCGTGTAAACATAGTAGTTCATATTTGATCTAAATCTAACACCATAGAATAACAGCTTTATTAATGCCTTTCTGATGTGATATTCTTTCTCTGCCAGCTGGCCCATCAGTGTCTGCCCCCCTGAGGATACAAGCTCCGCCCCCTCAGCCTCCGTGGAGCAGAAGCTCCGCCCTAATGAGGAAAGCTCAGCGTCATCAGATCAGCAGCAGGATGTCTGCACGAAGCACTCCCAGTGTCAGCTCCACCTGCAGCTCCTCAGCCGCTCCAGCTGTTCGAGGATCCACAGCGGCGTCCGTCAGCATCAACATCTCTGCTCAGCCTCGAGCCAGCCTCCTGTCCTGCCACAATAAAAGCCTGGCTGCCTGCATAGGGCTCGGCGAGCAGCGCAGGAAGAGCTACGTGTGTCGAGCGTGCGGGAAAGCATTCTCGGGTCAGTCCAACCTGGAGGCCCATGAGAGAGTCCACACCGGGAGAAACCTTTCAACTGCGACACCTGCGGGAAACGTTTCTCTGAGGCGGGGAACCTGAAGAAACACCAGAGGGTGCACACTGGTGAGAAACCTTTCAGCTGTGAGCGCTGTGGTAGGAGGTTCGCCTGGATCTGCAACCTGAGGACTCACCAACAGTCTGCTACGGGCTGTGGCCCCCCTACTGTAGGGGGGCAGAGCTGAGCTGATTATTATTAATGCTAACACTGTTTTATTTAAGCAAGTCCTAGACACCCAATATTGGGTAAGTTATTCTTTTTAATCAACAAAAATTGCAGTCAAACTCCTGCAGGAGGAGGAGCTGAGCAATGTACTGAGGTGAAAGACCTCAAAGACGGCACCAGGATTTTGAAATGGACAAGAAACGTGATGGGGAGCCTATGCACAGAGGATAAAATTGGTGTAATCTTGCGGTCTCGCCATTTCTGGTTAAAAGACGAGCTGCTGTGGTTTAAGGGCCTATATTACAAACTGTCAGTAAACTCAGCTCAGCAGCTGATTGAAATCCTTCATTCAACTCAAATGATTCATTAAAACCGACATTGATATGATGTGAAAAGGAAAAAAAATAAGGGTTGTCACATGCCCAGAACTTCAAACTTTAATATGATTTTAGTAAAAATGAAACTATGTCTATACTGGTTTGATTCCACAGCAACAATAATGTAAGTCCTTGACACCCAATTGTGTGTCATCTATTGTTTTACATTTTCAAAAATTGCAGCAAACTCCTGCACACTGTCTGAATTACACAAAAACATTGTTAACCTTTGCGTAAGGAAAAGTTATTTTTGGTTTTTTTGTACAATTAAGACAGTCTCGCTCTTTTAGACAAAACTCTGACTGAAGATCTGTAGTTTCTTTCTAAAAGCTTCACTTCCTTTTGATACTATCCATCATTATAATAACACAGATTGTGTTTTTTTTTAACAAGTGGTATTGATACCTAAGAAAGTAGCAGGCTGGTGTTTTAACATCCAACTGACAGTCAGTGTTTATAGATATATAAACCAGATTTGAGAGACTGAATTCTGAGACTGAGCTGAGTAACACATCAGAGTCAGACATGGTGTTCACTCTGCTCGCTTTTTTTCATTCTTCATTAAAACAGGCTGATACTTCCATATGTCTCAACAGTGCCATTAAACAATAATGCTTCACTTTAATGACTAAAAACCGGCCTGGTCTTCCCCTGACTTGGTCTTAATGTTGTGCTGCATCCTGTTGATCTCCATGCTGCAAACAGGAAATATAATAATGTCTCTGCACATGTTTACACATCCAGGAGTCTGCAGAGAAACACAAGGACAGAACAAATCTTGCTCTATGGGAATGAAAATACTATTTTTTTCTCACCCTAATACTGATTATAGTCATTGTGAAGCATTGAGGTTTTGTGTTTTGATGTCTAAATTAATTGAAATCAAGACCAATGAGAGCGACTTTTATGCTACATCCCAGCACATTTCAACACAGCAGACCCCAGCAGGAAGAGGGTTTGTGCTCGGTCAGCTTTGATTGACAGCTCTGTTTTATACTCTGAACACATCATGAATGATTTTATACTGTGTGCAAAATAAACACTTTTAAAAAGCACAAAATAAACATTTTCGTTAACTTACAGTGTTATGGGTTTCTTCTATCATAATAAGTGAAAACACAGAGTTAAACTAACATGCTGATGTCTTCATCAAGTACAGTGGTTCCCAAAGTTGGGGTTGTGACCTCCCCGTGGGGACTCTTTACACACACACCTCTCAATCTATTTAGTTTCATGTGTCCACTTAATTCTATACATGGAAATGTATTCTTGTATTCCGTTTCTATAGCCTGCTGTTTGCTACAATATATGCCTGGGAAACCGGGGGTCCCGACACTGAGGCACCCTTATTTGGGGGTCGCAAGCTGAGAACATTATATGAATTATACTCACTCTATATGCAATGTCAGAGTAGGCCATGGGGATCAAGTTCTTGTATATCTCGTTCTCGATGGAAGTTTCCCATGCTAAATCACTTTAAAACGCAACTTGCTGCATTTCCGCTGTAAGGAAATGGGAAGAATGCTTTGATACTATATAGTAAAAAATTTACTTAAAATTTGAGAGAAAGCATATTGACGAATAAACCCCTGTCAAATATTGCTCCCTGTGGTTATGTAAAGAGCCACATGGTAGCACATCTCGATGGGTAGCACAATTTGATAGGCCTTATTTTACACAATTACACAATTCCCTCGTCGGCGGGAATCGAGCATATAGACCAGTGGTGTCCAAACTTTTTGCGGGCCAAAATTGCCACAGGTTTTGTTTTTAAAAATATAGTTGAAAAAATAGTAAGGCTTTGTAGATCAGAATCACAAGGCTCGCTAAAGAAACTCTTTAATAAAAGGAAATCAAATATTTAGATTTCTTTGTTCTACTTTATTTGTTTTTTTCTCAGAATCAAGCCTGTAACGTGGTTCATTTTTTTAGAAAAGCTTTCTGCATTTGGCTCAGGTCATTAAATGGTTAAACAGTCCGCTTGTTTGCAAAAACTGTGCATAAGTTTTTTTTCATAGTTTACAAACAAATGTGGAAAATAATAAAAGCTGTAGATTTAAAAACAACAACATACATGTTACTGAACATTTTCTATTTTAGGAATATTGTTCAGCCCTTGTTAACATGAAAAAGAAAAATAAGAAAATGTGCCAATCTTAATCGAGGCCTCGGGCCAAAATCTTCTGATTCTTCATTTGAAGTCACGGGCCGCAAGAAATCCCCTCAAGGGCCGCAAATGGCCCTCGGGCCGCACTTTGGACACCCCTGATATAGACCGTAAATATTAAGGAAAAGAGGCGGAGACACGGAGAGGATATCTGATTTTATTGGTTAGAAATGGATGGGCTGACCGGTCGATTCCGAGGTTGAGTTGTCGAAAATACAGGCTACGAGTTACGAGGTCTTTACTTTACAGCGGTACATATCTATTAAGAAACTGTAGGCTGATTAAATTCTTCTTTGAAATATGTTTTTTGGATATCAACGCCATTGTTCCTACCCATGATGATTATTCTGGATCTGCATAAAGGTCTTCCCAAGAAATCCCCAAACTTAAGGGAGGCTATCTTTAAAAGAGTGGCTGTTGTTTAACTAAGACTGTCAATTTGAATGTCTTTAAACCTTACTAGTAAAAATACAGTTTGACTGTGAGTAAGGCCGACACTATTGTTGGCATCTAAAATATAATTACCGATATGAGTGTTAATCGGTCTGACACAATGTATCGGTGCTGAGCTGTCATACACTCACGGAGAGACAAGAGAAAACACATAGCAGAGGATGGTTTCGATCCATCGACCTCTGGGTTATGGGCCCAGCACGCTTCCGCTGCGCCACTCTGCTGCATGAATGCCATTTCACCACTGTTTCTATTTAGAGTAAAACAGTGGTCATTATCCAAAACCATTTTGTTTCCCTATAGATGCGAGTTAAACACCATGCAAATAACACTTTTCTATACGAAAACATCAACTTTCCACTTGCATATCCTAACAATTTAGCCTTTTTCTGTCGTGACGCGATAACTAGACGGAGGGATCGAGTCTCTCTGTCGGCTGTCTCCGGTTAGGAATTGTATGTTGGTTTTCTCCGTGTGTTCAGGTACCTTGCCGCAGTTTGAAGGAACATTTTGGTTGGTAAAAGTCGGCTATAATTTGTATGAACCCGCGAGACTCCAATACTGTTTTGTGTAAAGCAGCATTCTTGTTATTGGCTCTCCATGTCACCTTTTGTTTCTCCTTTGCGCCACTAGAGGGCGTAGTTAGACTGTTAAAGTATTGATAATGGCAAACACCTTGTAGATTACATGAAAACAAATACAGCTGTCATTACATTTCGAAATGAATTATGTGCATAAAAAATGTCGGATTTGGGGTTATTTTAGACGTTTTTATCACCTAAATGTCATCATTTCAAGGCCCTATCAAACGTAACATTTAAACCAAATACCATCATGACCTTTTGAAAGTAGTGCTTCATTCTGCACAATTTATTTATACATATGACACAAGAGAAAGACAGCTGACATAATGACAGCATATTCTGAAAAGAAAACAAGCAGGTTTTGTGTTTAACATGTTTTCTAATAACACATTGAAATATAACATATAAACATTGTATGGCATGTTGAATTTTTTTTCCTCGTTAGGACAGTGAAGATTTTTTTTACAAAGAATCACATCGTTGTCAGACAGTTCACACATCACAGAGGCTAAATGCAATCTGTCTAAAACAAACTGCATTATGTTTCAATTAAAAACAGAAGTTCATGCTTATCATTGATTTGATAACACTAGGACCAAAACACACTTAGAGCGCATAGTACCATATTACCCCTCTATGTAATGCCTGTTTCTGTTAGCTACAGTTTCTAAATGTACTATGGGAGGTTATCAGGCCCTTCTCCTTTGGAATCATCTACCAGTCAGGTCTTCATAGTTCATGTTTGTACTTGTGTCTCAGCTGGGTGGTGTTTTAGGGGATTTGTACAGGAGTGTATTCATGTGATCAAGGAGTGTGCTGCTGCATTGTGTTTGTGTGATTGTGAGAGGTCCGTCTGAGCCGATGACTCCAGAGCTCTTTTTATGTCCCGGTGCAGCCCTGATGACCACCCTGCACAGCAGTGATGCTGTAACCGAACAGACAGATGAAGAAAAGGTGATTGTCCGTGTGTGGGTGTTTTCTGACTGTTGTGTATAAACAGTGAGTGTAAGAGAGTCTCTGCTTCCTGTTTGTTTGGAAGTTGGTCTTTTTTTTGCTCATCAGCAGATGATCTCCACCTCTGTGACCTCCTCAATGCTGCCCTCCACCTGCTGCTGCACCACCTTCTCCTCACCTTCCTGCTCTTTCCTCTCCTCTGTGTCCCCTTCCTCCTCCTCTGTCTTCCTACTCTCCTGCTCCTCTCCTCCACTCTCCCCCTTCACCTTTGTCCTCTTGCCGTCTCTCAGGGCGCAGGGCAGACAGTTAGCGAGGAAGAGGACGGCAGAGAGACAGATCAGAGAGAGGACTGCGCCCACACCCACCTCCAGCTCCTGAGCTCCCTGCGCCTCCTCCCCCCTCCCACCTCCTCCCCTCTCCTTGCTGGGGGAGAAGTAGACGGTGCCCTCCTCCTGGCTGGGCATCAGCACGGCTCGTTCCAGATTGTTTTGACTAAGCATCCCTCCGTTCCCGACTTTGTTCCAGTTTCTGTCAATCACTTTCCCACTCAGTCTGTCATAGTCGCTGCTGACGTTCCCTCCTTCCTCTTCCTCTGAGTTTGCAGCATAGATGTCAATGTCAGACTCGACCAGCGTGTCTGAAATGTCAAACTCAAACTCTTCCCCGTTCACATCTTTGTCCTCCTCTGGCTGCAGGAAGTCCAGGTCCAGGTTGACCCGGATCCACCCTGACCCTCGGGCCAGCCGGCGCGCTCTGCTGTCTGTCCAGTCACCTTCACTGATGGAGTTGGAGGTGATTGACAGGTCACCGCAGGTGGAAACCAGAAGCTCTGCTCTCAGTAAAGGCCCGCCCCCGTCCCCCTGGGCATAGATGTGCTGGCTGGGGCCGGGCGTCACGATGACCACGGACTCAGCCAGTGAGGAGAGGAGCAGGGAGAGGGGGAGGTCACTGAAGGAGGAGAGGAGGGAGGCGGAGTCATCGCTGAACTGCAGCCAGACGCTGATCGACGCCTCCTGGAGGAATATATCAGGATGATGGAACGATTATAAGATGACCATACAGTATTAATCTTCTTAACTGTTTCACATTGTTACTGTGAATTAACAAAGAGATGATCAAAAATAAGCCCGTCATAAATTCTTATCTTCGTTCGTTAAATCTTAACTTAATTTAAGGAACTGCATCAAACACTGCTGCATTACAATGCCTCCTGACGGGTTGTGTTCTAGATTTTGTTTAGTCGTTTAGTTTCATAATCCTACATTTTTATAAAGCTGTTTCTATAATGTTTGTGAAGTAACCATTTTCTTTCATTTAGTAGCATGTAACTTTGGGTTAACTTTAGTGTGATGCTTAAAGGTAAACTAAAAATCATATTAAAATGTGCTGTTGTTTTTTTAGATTTATTTTGGGGCTTTTTATGCCTTTATTTACAGATAGGACAGTGGATAGAGACAGAAATCTGGGACAAAAACGGTGACTAGGACATGCGGAAAAGGAGCCACAGGTCTGATTTGAACCGGGGCTGCCCGCTTGGTGGTATATAGACTCCGTACATCGGGCACTCGCACTAATCACTAGGCTACCAGCGCCCCTAAAATGTGTACATTTTTACACTGTGCATGGATTTTTTTTATTATGTTTTATCCAGAACAAACGTGTCACAGAATGTTTCAATCAAACAATATATTGAACTACTAGTTTAACCCAAGTGAAAACACAGGTGTTAAAACATAAAAAAAAAAACTGCTGTTCCTCTAGTGTCCACTAGAGGCTGTCCCGTGCAGTGAGTCAACTCACCTGTTTACATTATATTGAGGTTCGAAGTGATGTAGAATTAGGGTCGTGGCCTCGTTGAGTGACAGGTTGGAGCTTGCTAATTGTCTGTGTTCAACAAGTCTGAGCTCCACTTTTTTACAACCAGTCACATGATGACAGTATTTTATTTACACATTAGAAACAATTAGCAGCTGTATTTGCGTCTGAGAAGCACACCTGGACTGGGAGCTCATTCACTGATTGTCATACATTTTTATACATACAATACAATTTTTTTGTGTTGTCCCATGAATAGAATCAGGATTATTGTAGGTTATTTTGTGTAGAGATTACAGTAAACCATAGAGATAAAGTCCAGTTATGAAACTCCAGGATTCATAAGCCGCCTAGAAACCTTCCATGTTTTAACCCAAACTTTCAACAGTATTTTAAAGTCAGAGTTTGAACTTAACTTTAAGTTTTGTTAAGTTTGGGTGTCACAGAGCTCTGAGTATGGTTTGATAGATGTTTGATTATAATGTATTGTTCCTGATATTAATTAATAATAAGTTTTCAGATCAGAGTCCTCCTCTCTCTCACCTGGTGATGGTTGTACAGGATGTTGTATGCTGTCACTGTCGTCGTGACGACGGAGGGGTGCGCAGGGCTGGACGTGACTGACATGCCAAGGCCGCTGACTACCTGCACGGAAAGGTCACCAGGGGTAACGGGGTCAGAAGTCACAGTGACATCACACCTGCCAAGCACGCCGTCCCACTGCTCAGAGACGACCTAGGAGAGAGATGACGAGGATGATGAAGGATAGGAACTGATGATGTCATACTGAGATGATGTCACCGTCGCTTACATAGATTGACGTCTTCCCGGGTCGTAAACCAATCAGATTGTTCTGGGAGCTGAGGGAAGCCACACTGGGATCTTCTACTTTCAGCCAATCACGGACCAGCTCGGTGACATCCACGAACCAATCAGACGAGCCCAGGAGATGCGTGTTCCCGGCCTCCAAGTCCTGAGCTGTGAACTGGGTCAGCACATGGATGGAGGAGCGCTGATAGACGGGCACACACCTGATGGACAGGTGACACATGAGGTGAGATATTAACATAGTTCACTGAGTGTGATTAATACAGAGTATTTCACCTACAGGTCGTCATGGTTTCCTGTTGACCTCCTGACCTGCAGCAGCTCAGTTAACATCAGTTAACAAGACGTTCAATTGCTCTGAACCTTCATCCTAACATCACACAGCCCATAAAGCCTGTCCAGTCCAAGCAACAGCCTCAGGTGCTGAAGATTGAACATTAAAGCCAACGCAGAAGAACCAGAAGCTGCAGTTCCTCTAGTGTCCACCAGAGGTGGTCTCATGTGGTGAGTCAATCCCCATAGAGCCCCATGTTAAAATCTCTAACTTTACAGCGGAAATAAAAATGTTAACAGCCTGGTACAAAAACAGTTTTGGTCTCTATAGCACATTTATCTCTTCACCACAACTGTACAGGCTGAATTTTATACAACTTAATATATCTTAATAAATTCAGTTATAATTAGATATAAATGGCTGATTGGACTTATAGGTGGGTGAGTTGTAGTTGTTTGTCAGGAGGTTTAAGCCTCAGCTCTACCTTTTTGTCCATTTCTAGATTGATCTAAAGTTAGTCAGAGGCAGCACTTCCAACATGTCGACCGCCATCGTTGAGATTTCATAACTCCTTTTCAGAAAAAAATGATTACTTCACTGAGACAGCGTCCATGTTTTATACAGGCCGTTTTCCAGTGTCAGCAGATGTCTGTTCTACATTCAGTCTGGTTCTCCTCGAACGTTCCTGCCTGTTAAAGAGGTTTCTCTGCCTCGTGCTGGATTACTGCTAAGTCTCTGTTAGTAGTAATACAAGAGAACAGTCTACACCAGCTCTTTAAGGAAAGTGTCCTCACAGAACTTTAAGTAGGATTTACACCATCGGCTGACAAATTCAAACGTTTTATCTGTTGCGTTTTTCTGCCTCTCTGCAGCAAAAAGTAACTTGGACCTTTTATATTGCTCTCTGAATAAAGCTCAGCATTATTAGTACTATCGTGTACACTTGGCAGTAATGAACTATAAATTGCTTAAAAGCACAAACAAAGGAAGATAAAATAGTAAACATAGATGTTAGCCTTTTGGGGCCCTAAAGACAAAAACATCTGCTTAAAAAATGTTTTTTAAGAAGTTAGTAAAGTAAGTTAGAAGTAAACTTCCTTGTGTTAGTATTACTGAATAAAAACTGCTGATGATCCTGCACCCTGCCGTAACAGATCACCATGCTCTCCTTTAGGAGCCCTTTCTGACTGATGATGACTGCTCAAAATGTCAGTCATATATGCCTGTTTGCATGTTACTGTATTCAGACTGCTGCTGGATTATCATCTGTATTTACAGCTAAGCTTCATATATCGGAATCCTTTAAACTCTAAGACAGGAAAAATCACCACTTTCATGACAAGAGGATTAAATGAGAGCTCTCATCACAGAACAACAGCCACACAGTCTGTAAGAAAACACTGATAGCTTGCATTAGCATAGCAACAATGGTGGCTGTTCTGTGAATCTGTTATTTTAAGACCCTTTTTGGTGAAAAGTTACAACAACAAAAAGGATGAGATTCTGTTGCTTATTTTTGCCTTTAATTGTGTTTATTTAAAAAAAAAAAAAACTGGTCAAAGTGGTGGTGACAGTCAGGTCTCCGGAGTGATGCATGCTGGGGCTGTTTCTCACCCGCTCTCTGTGAAGTGGTTCCAGCCATCGATGGCGTTTAGAATGGGGTCTGCGAGGGACAATCGCAGGGGCACTGAAGGAGCCCATACCTCCAGACACACGGAGCCACTGAGCGTGCCCAGTTTAAACTCCACAGCTGCACAGGTGTTACCCAGCCCTGATTCGCTGCCGTCCACAAAGAGGGCGGAACAATCGCTGGACACCTAAGGAGAGGACGAGGGGACAGCAATGACATCAGAGATTAACGGACCTAAATGTATGTTTCATCAATCAAAGACACTTTGTCAAGTTATTTTTTTTCATTTTTAAAGAATCTCTTGAACATAGTCATCAATTGTTGATGCTTTTTGCTGCACCTTGATGGTGTTCTCATTGGTGGAGTGGCAGGTGACGGCAGAGGTGACGTCCGACACCTTTCCTTCATGACTTATGGCGAGCACGATGACAGGAAGTGACACTGGCTGGTTGGTGAGTATGGCGGTGTTGATGATTGTGTTGGCCTGTTCATACAGACAATCAAAAAAATTAAGGTCACTTTTTTATTTTATAAAAGAAATAATTGAAGAGTGAATATAATCAACGTGTGGATGACAGCAGCACCTCCGTAATGGGAGCGATGCCGTAGATCAGTCGATCAGTGAATGAGAAGACGGTTACTGCTGCCCCGTGTGGTGACACAGGGTTATTACGACCTGAGTATTCCACAAACCAGTTAGCAGAAACCGACATAGCAACACCGAAGCTGTGCCTGAGGCCATCCAGAGACAGACACACCACCTGCTGGAGGACAGAGGGACTGCAGGGAGACATGTGTTTCAGAAATCACGTCACAAAATGAGACGTTATAAAACAAAAGTGAAACTGTGTGTACAAAATACCAGTCCATTAATGAGTCACTGCCCTACACAAAGGAATCATTTAACTTTTAAAATGACAATAAAAACTTGACTAATGTGCAGCACAGTTTAAGGTGCATTTAAAGCCCCTAGAAACCTGACTTGAATTAGTATTAGTATTCAAATTAGTATTTCTCTAGCAGCACCACCTTTTAAGCATCTTTTCTGACTATGTGGACGTAGCAGCTCAAATATGTCAATCAAAATTTTGCCCCCTTTAATGATGCTCCCAACTTGGGATCAGTAGCAATGCTAACGGAGCTAGCAGCGTCACATTTTAAGGAACTTTTCTCCCTCGTTATTTCAAAATCACCCACACAAAAAAAACGTTATTATACTTTTTAAAACAGTTTTTATTCGTAAAAAAACTGTCACTTTGTAAATTCATCTTTGATAGGAGCTTGATATTAAAGTCTTCATGGTGTTGCACATAGTAATAATAGTTTAAAGAAAACAATAATCGAGGACTCGGAGAGAACATCTCACCTACATTCTCTGAGAGTAGTCCTAAACTTTAACTTTTGATGTCTGCTGTATCTTAATCTTTGTGTGTCCTGTTTTCAACTCTCAATTATCGCGACACCTTCTGAATGAACTCGCCTCATCTGCCTGAGTAACGGAGTGTGTTGACACACTGAACAAAGTGGACCTACCTTTGTGTGTGCTTAATGGCGCTTTGTTTGTGACAGAGGATGGACACCACGTCGTGTGCGGAGCCCTGACTCCTCTCTAGAGTCACCGTCCACAGATCAGATGTCACCGTTCTCTGGGCTACCATTGACACCAGACCCTTCTTCACCTTCAGCCTGAACACACACACACACACACACACACACACACACACACACACACACACACACATAAAAACATACACACTCACAGATCTCAGGGCCTGATTGACAAAAAATTGACTGTGGCCTGTGATAGCTGAGTTATTACCTCCCTCAGCTCTTTGTCTAATACACAAAGCAAATCGCTCTAATGATATTCAAACACAAACATGTTGAAAAAGCCGCCCTGCTCCATCGTGCACTTTGCTCTTGTTTTGCATCTGAATGTGGAGAGAAGCTATCTGCACCTTTATTTTGCTCGGATCTGCACTCTCATGCTGACGGAGCTCAGTTCTGTCCACATAAAGCTTATGAGCTCAGAGCTGAGGGGAAACTTTTTACACTTTATTTTTTGTGTGTGTTTTGTGAATCAGACGGTATCTTTTTTATCACACTTTCACAGCTGAGCTGGTGGATAAACTGCCTTCTATTGGAGAATCAGACCTTTAGTGTAAAACGTATATGAAAAAGACTGTGTGACAATAAGGAGATGTTCTCTTTTTTACCTTATGACCACAAACTCAGCACTGAAGTTTCCTCTCAGGCTCACAGACACTCTGATAGGCTGACCAATCAGGACAGGGCCTCTGTGATAGCGAATCACAACATGGGAGTCCAAGCTAAGCTCCTCCTCTTCCTGCCCGTTCACACAGGTTTCTTCTTTTATGGTCCTGCTCTTCTCTCTCTCCTTCTCCTCCTTCAGTGTCACCGCTCGTATGTGGACGAGTTTCCTCTGAGACTGAGCTGCTAGCTCCTCCACACACCTTGACGGTCAGACAGAGGGAGGTTACAACGACACAGACGGATTTGATTTGTAAAAGCTCAAAGTGTATGTTCATGTTTCCATGTTCTCTGTATCTCACCCTGCTGCTGTCAGCTCAAAGTCAGTCTCTGTGTCCACGGATGAGTAGAAAAGCTGAAGCTGGTCTCTAATGGGGCCCCGGTTATGTCTGAGGTGCAGGGGAGCATCTGCCTGTGTGTTTCCATAATCATCTGGATGGTCCCTGAATACAGATGAAAAGATTTTTCTGTCACACAGCAAACAATAAACACCTGTACCTGTAGAGTGAGCCTGAATTAAAAGCTGCTGCAAGAGAAAGAGAGTACCCTCAAAACTGTACAAAAACATTGGAAGCATTTCTGTACTGAAACGTTGCAAATGTTTTTGTACAATTCAGACAGTATGCCGGAGTTTGCCTGCCATATGTAATAATTCAAAGCAATAAATTACCCAAAATTGGGTGTTTAGGACTTCTATTTGTGCTGCCATGGTATCGAACAGGTATCGATATTGTTTGATTTTTCCTAGAATCATATAAAAGTTTAATTCTGTTATCATTACAACTCTACAAAGGGGTAACAATGATTTTCCTTTAAGGTGTCACCTCAGATAAGGAGACGTTGTATGATGATGGTTGACACTGTTGCCGTGGTGATGCCCATGTCGGCGGTGTTCTCTCTTGTGCATCCGGTGGCGAGGGTAGACGTTACTGTGCCACTTCACCAAATCCTCTTGTGACGGTTTGATGTGCTGGTCTTTGAACCAGTCGCCAGGCAGAGTCAGAGTGACCACGCATAGCCCCAGAGGATCCTGGAAGAGAAAAGGATGGAGTGACAGATGAAAGGAGAGAGAAGAGAAGAAGAAACGTGAAGCTGAGAGAGAATCCTCACCTGAGTCATACAAGACGCTTTGTGCTCCTCTGTCTCCTTGAAGGCATGCAGGGTGACGCAGGTACCTCTAGTGCCGCTGTCTCCTCGTTTGTGAAAAAGCGCTCTCACCCTGAACACCTCCTGCCCCCCCTCACCCATCTCCCTCTGCACATGCTCAGAGAGGAGGGAGGCAGACAGGCTGGAGGAGAGAACAGGCTCTGATATGAGCTGATGAGGGAGAAACAAAAGCTAGTTAGCATTCAGTGCCATCTTCAGTAATTGTCCCACACCCCACACCTGTCCTCTTACCTGTGTGACAGAGTAAGGGCCAAACGAAGCCTGGAGGCCCGGTCTGGGGGCCCGTCCCGGCGGTGGCAACATGAAGAGGCTCTGGGAGGAGGAGAAGGGGCTTGAGTTGGAGAAAAGAGGGCCCAGCTCCACCTGGGAGAGAGGGAGGAACTGCCAGGGAGAAGGGACGACCGACATGTGGACGGGCAGGGAGAGAGGGAGAGGAGGTTGCAGGAGGGAGGGCGGGACTGAGGGGAGGGAGGTTGAACCAGAGTGTTAGAAGCCTCATTCAGATTGCCATCTCAAAGCACAATATATACACCTCTGTGATATTTCACCTTCAAACAGAATGCCCCAGAGCAGAACGGGGAGACCTAGTGATAGTAGGTAGTAACAGAAGACAAAAACAAGAGGACATCACTAAGGGGCTGATTCACAGCCCTGCTTTTGCGCCCGCTTAGCCAGTGCAATGAGGTAAAAAGACACGTTCTGATTCTCAAAACACACAAACCGTTAAATGCTCCCCTAAGTGCGCTGCAGAGCAAACAGTGTCTCTGTCAGTTGTTGCAGCTTGGGTGTATTTTAATGATCCATTATGCAGACATTTTGGGAAAAATTGGCCCCTTTCTATGCAAATTATCGTCATTGCCAAAGCATCTATTTCACAAACAGCTGCTCTACTAGCCACGCACAGTAAGAGTAAAAAAAAAAAAAAAGCATCTGCTGAGAGTTGGCAGTAACTGCGCCACAGTATTTATAGGATATGTCATGAGAAAACTTCCCAGTTATCAGCAAAACGATTCTGCCTCTGCTCCCACGTGAGGAGAGAAGGTGCAGATAGCGTTTCTTCACATTCAGACACAAAACTAGAGCAAACTGTTGTACAACGTGTTGGGATGTGTTTGTACCTGAATATCATAACCTTGAGACAAAAGCAGATAGAGGGAGCACATGATGAAATGTATTTTTAGCTATTAGCAGCCACAATCAAGTCTTCTTGAATCAAGCCCTCATTGACAATGAACAGATTTTTGTGACATCGCTTATTTCCAAAGTAGATTTACCTTCTATGAGAATCCAGAACAGCAGCAGCATGCTAACTCCTCTTCTGCAGCGGTGCAACCAGGCCGACTGACCTCTGACCTCACTGCACACCTGTTGACAAACAGACAATTACCCGGTAGTATACAGGAAATGTTTCACTGTTAATCGGATTTCTGTTATCCACCCCCACCCCCTCCCTCCCATACTTTAGGATTCAGTTTAACTGAATAAAGCCTCTTTATTGATTTAAATACAATTTATATGTGCGGACAATGAAGGAATGTCCCTCTAAAATGTCTTAACTGACTGCTTTGTTCTTCTGTCCCTTGATCAGAGGTCCAGTTGTTTTTTCTGACAATTCTTTCTTTCAAGCCAAACATCCATGTGGGGTCAACATCTTCAGCTGTTAACAGATCTTAAACAAGGCTTTTTTTTTTGTGTTGGTGACCAAGTACAATATACATATATTTGAAAAAAGCATATCATTTAGAGAATGGACAACATTTATGCATTATGGGTCCACTATGGAGCCTATTAAGACTTTTGGGTCTATTTTTGGCAAGCATTGACACTGAGTATATAATTAGCTGAGCCACAGATAGGTGAACTATTCAGTACAGGTTCAATTTATTTCAACCATTTTATGGATCAGCTGGATTTGCTGATATGGACAAAAAGTCCAGCACAAGCGGATCAAAGATCAGGGATGAACCTTTTAACCATTTTTTCTTCCTATTGTTTAACTATGAGGAAACACTCCATACTGTTTGTTGCTATGCAGATGATTCTTGATTGTATGTATCAATGAAGCCGGGCTAGAAGTAGAGGCATGGACATTAGGAACTGGATGACCAGAATTATTTTGCTACTTAACTTAGCAAGACTGAAGTTATTGTGCCCCAAACACCGCAGAGAGACATTTTCTAATGATATAACTATCCTAAATGGCATCAGCCTGGCGCCCAGCACCACTGTTAGGAATCTGTGAGCTCTATTAAAACACATTTCAGGACAGCTTTTACATCTCTAAATTCAGACACATCCTGTTAGCTGTGAACACATCTACATATGCTTCTAGATAGTTCTTCAGTGATGTTCCTGGAGTTATTAAGTATCTGGGTCTACAACATCATACAACTTCCTCCAGTTGACCCAGCCAGGGGTGATCAGACCCTGGCTCTCCTCTTCCCAAACTGGTGTAGGCTCTGGCCAGAGAGTGGGCTGCAAATCCCTGGCATCAACCTCCCCTGGCAGACATCTCATTCTCCATCCAACTTGCCACCAGTCCCCGAACAGTCCAACATACTTGTGAAGCTGATTCTCCCATGGGACAGTTATCTCCAGCAGCACAGCTTGCTTGGTGGACTTGGACACAAGGACTACGTCTGGTTGCAGGTTGGTTGCTGCAATATAACTTAAGCTGCCATTCAACGTCTACCAACAGTTCCCAGTCTCTTGCTGAGGTAAGGATGCCTGCTGGGGTTCTTCTGGCGAGATTTGAAAACGATGCAGAAAAACTAGTCCATACATCTATTACCTCTAGGTTGGATTATTGCAATTCTCTTTTATCAGGCTGCCCTAGTAAGTCTCTTGAGACTTTTCAGCCGGTCCAAAATACTGTAGCTTGTGTATACTGAGAACCTGGAAAAGAGACTAAATGACTCCTGTATTAGCTTCTTTGCACTGGCTCCCTATAACATCTATAAAATAATTTAAAATCCTTCTTCTCAAAGCTCTTCTCAAAGCTCTTAATGGTCAGGGACCATCTTATCTTAAAGAGCTCATAAAGCCTATTACCCCTCTAGAATATTAGATCCTAGAATGCAGGCCTGCTCGTGGTACCTACAGTCTCTAATGTACTATGGGAAGTAGAGCCTTTAGCCTTTGGTATTATCCACCAGTCAGGGTCCAGGAGGCAGGCTAGTACAGTATAGGCTTACAACTTTCATTTTTGATAAACCTTATAGTTAGGGCTGGCTCAGGTATCGACCAACTCCTAGTTATGTTGCCATAGGTTTATACTGCCGGGGAACCTTGCACACTGATCTCCTGTCTCTTCCTCTTCTTTGGTATGGACAGAGTGCTGCTGTGGACCCACCTGACTTCAACTGCTACAACAATTAGTATCAGTATTTGTTCTATTATTTCAATAGTTGTGTTGGTTTTCATTAATTTTAGCACAATTTTGGTTATAGAACTTGTCATTGCTGTGTTCACCTCTTCTCCTCCCTCCCTCTTTTCTCGGACCAGATATTTGTCCAATAATAATCTTCACCCTTTGAAAGAGACATATTACCATTTATACACCAAACCCAGATGATACCAATGACAGCCAAATTTAGAAGTGAAGACTCAGTTAACATAATACTGAAACACAGGTTTATTTTTCTACACAAAACACACACACACACACACACACACACACACACACACACACACACACACACACACACACACACACACACACACACACACATACACACACACACACACACAGACATATCTCGCAGGTTACAACCAGACACAGTTTGTTCTGCACACGATCAAAGAGTGGACATCAGAACATTCAGCTAATTATATCAGATGTTACGTCCATGTCCCCATATGGTCACTGTGAACAGGTGAGACCACACACACACACACACACACACACACACACACACACACACACACACACACACATGCACACACACACTCAGTCTTACTCACCTGTATGTGTCTATTTCACTTCCAGATCTTCATCATGTCTTTCTTGAGACATCTTCCATTCCAGCTTTTAAAAATCCATCAAAATAAAAAAAAAAATGATTAAAAAAAAAAAAAACAATACACTAAAAATAATCAGCTTGTATGAATGTTCCTTTTTCGCGTCCCTCTGTTGCGCTCTTCTCTGCTGGTCTGCTGTTCAACAAACTCCCCCCTCTCTCCCCGTTTCTCTCTCTTTCCTCCCTCTCTGTGCCAGATTCACACTACACTGTTCATTTAAAACAGTAAATAATCCCCTCTCTCTCTCTTTCTCTGTTATGCCCCTCCCCCTCCTCTTCATCAGAAATGTTTTGCTGATATATATTTTTAGGCTCCTCCCCCCTCCTCATTCATACCTAGACTTTGACAGTCAGCTTGTGTGATGTCGACCGCATGGTGACTAAACTATTTACAGACTCAGGGGTCTGGGTGTAAATGTGTGAAATGTTCTGTTTTCTGTTTGTTTGTAGTCAAAGTATATTTGATATTTATATTTCAGGTATTTGCAGGCTTTGGCATGAGCATGAAAAACAGTTTGTGTCGAGATAAAAAACAGGAACACAAGCCTTACTTCAGCGGTAATTTTGTGATGATTTATTTATCTCTATAAACAGCTACACTTGAGCCACAAATCTGCATGAAGCAGTGTCTTGAACAACAAGCGTTCATATTTTCTGACTTCCTTGAACTCATCAGAAATGATCAAGCCAACCTCTATCCACCAGCATTTTAAAAGTTGTTTTTTTATCCTTGAGGACAGACCTGATAAAGCTTGATTTTTTTACTTTTTAAAAATCTGCATCATAATGTTTTTATTTTAGCAAACGTAAGACCAGATAATTTGTGTAGATCACAAGGACATACATTTCTTTTACAGATTTGTACCGCTGAAGTAATCCACAGTGAAGCCTGTGTGTGACTTACTATTTACAGTTAAACTAAGACTCACCAGAAACAGATGAAGGGCGCTCCTCTGGGGGAATCCGACAGATCTGGAGGGGACAATTTACATTCTTTACTTTTGAGCCAAACATTTATAAAGTTTCAATCTGGACTGTAAACAATGCTGTGCACGGACTACACGTTGATGCTAACTTCTGTATCTGTGTTGGATTTGGTGTTTTATGTTTAACACTTAACATTAACACTCAATGCTTTGTTTCGACCTGTAATCTGTTTTATTCTTGTTTAATCTATTATGTAAATTATAAGGAAGTGGTTCTAAAATAGATTACAATTGACATCAATCATAGTGCAGGTTTAATCCCACATAAAGGTTGAATAGGAGTAGTAATGAAATTGAATACGCGGTCATGAGTTTCATTTGGCAGATGCTAACCTTCAGGTCTGTGCTAATAGGATGTGTACAGTCAGAGTTTCAGCTGGTACAATAACGTCTCCTCTCGACTGATGCAATCTTTGTTTCCTAATAATTTAGTGTACATTAAAATGTAAAACTCCTGCAGAGTGTTTCACTTACAGTTGGAAAATATATCTATGTACAACATTTTATTCATTCAACGCTCAAATGATTAAACTTTTCTAACTTTGATCCAGCTTCACACGTTTCACATGTTCAGGTGTGCACAGAGTGTTTCTGAGGATCAAGAGCATGTCACGGTAAGACATCGACTAGACCTCCATCACTTTTTATAAAAAAAACTTTTTGATAATAAGAACAGAAATCTTTTTTGAAAGTGAAAGTGCAGCTGAGTATTCATGATGAGAACAGAGACATAAAGAGGTCAGCTGAAGATTTGAGTGTGAGAGTGTGTGTGTTCGTGTTCATAGTTTATCCTCCTCTTCTTAATATGCCTCACTTCTTCTGTTAGTCCCCCAACCTCTGTGTATTTACAGTATATATTTATATATGTGTGTGTGTGTGTGTGTGTGTGTGTGTGTGTGCGCGCGCGCGCGTGCGTTCATGTGTGTGTGTGTTAGAGAGTGGTAATAGAGCAGCAGAAGGGGCTTAGAGGACAATGGATCTGACACTGAGAGGAGCTTAATGCAGGAGAAAAATGAAAAACATCAACGTAACAAACCTGCAACACACACATTATATACACAAACTACACACACTATACACACAAACTACACACATTATATACACAAATTACACACATTATATACACAAACTACACACATTATACAAACAAACTACACACAATATATACACAAACTACACACATTATACACAAACTACACACATTATATACATAAACTACACACATTATATAAACAAACTACACACATTATACACACAAACTACACACAGTATATACACAAACTACACACATTATACACAAACTACACACATTATATACACAAACTACACACATTATACACAAACTGCACACATTATACAAAAACTGCGCACATTATACACACAAACTGCACACATTATACACACAAACTGTACACATTATACACACAATATACACAAACTGCACACAATATACACAAACTGCACACATTATATACACAAACTGCACACATTATATAAACAAACTGCACACAATATACACAAACTGCACACATTATATACACAAACTACACACATTATACACAAACTACACACATTATATACACAAACTACACACATTATACACAAACTGCACACATTATACACAAACTGCGCACATTATACACACAAACTGCACACATTATACACACAAACTGTACACATTATACACACAATATACACAAACTGCACACAATATACACAAACTGCACACATTATATACACAAACTGCACACATTATACACAAACTGCACACAATATACACAAACTGCACACATTATACACACAAACTGCACACATTATATACACAAACTGCACACAGTATACACAAACTGCACACAATACACACAGACTGCACACATTATAGACACAGACTGCACACATTATACACAAACTGCACACATTATACACACAAACTGCACACATTATAGACACAAACTGCACACAATATACACAAACTGCACACATTATACACAAACTGCACACATTATAGACACAAACTGCACACAATATACACAAACTGCACACAATATACACAAACTGCACACATTATACACACAAACTGCACACATTATATACACAAACTGCACACAATATACACAAACTGCACACATTATACACAAACTGCACACAATATACACAAACTGCACACATTATACACAAACTGCACACAATATACACACAATATACACAAACTGCACACATTATACACAAACTGCACATATTATATACACAAACTGCACACAATATACACAAACTGCACACATTATACACACAAACTGCACACATTATATACACAAACTGCACACAATATACACAAACTGCACACATTATACACAAACTGCACACAATATACACAAACTGCACACATTATACACAAACTGCACACATTATACACAAACTGCACATATTATATACACAAACTGCACATATTATATACACAAACTGCACACATTATACACACAAACTGCACACATTATACACAAACTGCACACATTATACACAAACTGCACACATGATACACAAACTACACACATTATACACACAAACTGAACTAATTGCTTGCGCGCGCACACACACACACACACACACACACACACACACACACACACCCTGGCATCAAATCTGACTCTGAGGAATAACATCTTCTCACTTTGAAGGTGTTATCTGATCTGACTTTTCACACTGATCCTTCACCTGTCACACACATGCTTTAAACCCTGACAGGATTAGACTGGATCAATGTGCACTCACCTGATGAACCTCACACACAAACTACACACATTATACAGGTTTATGCTCACCTCGTCTCATGGTTCAGGTTCAGAGCTGACGTCTGTTCTCTCAGGTAGAAGTACTCTGATATTTGTTTCCCGCTGTCAAAGTGTTGATCAGTGTTGTTTGCTCCAATGTGTAAAACAATCTCTTTTCTCTGAATATGAACTCTGAACTCTGAATCTGCTCCCTGAATACCAACAGAAGAACATTACAGAGGATTTTGGCACATTTTTCAGGGAGCTACCCACAAGTTACAAGTTATATCTTGTTGTAAAGGTGACTAATCAGGCTTTCCAACGATATTAAAATACAACACCAATTAATATTATTAAAGGGGCAAAATAATTGACCGAAATAACGTTTCCATACCTTTTATTAAGGAGTTTATATTGTTTTTGATACATTGTTTTTGGTACAAAAAAGTTAGTACAAATAAATTCCCTCGTTCACTGATGAGTTGATTCTCCACAGAACTGTCAAATTCTTCACATCTTCTAAACTTTCTTTCATCATTTGAGCTGTCAAAAGAAAAAATGGTCCATTCAGATATCAAAATGTGTCAGACATGCATGTATATTCATATCCATAACATGGGATGTGTGTTGTGTCTGATAAACTGTCAACTGAGCTACCAGTAATGAACTAGGAAACACACAGGTGTCATTTTGTGGCAAATTATTTACATTTTAGAAAACATTGTAACATAATCAGATTTACTGCATATCGATGTACCGGTCTTTCAGTGTACAGCGTCTGTATTGTAAAACATGGATTTTTTCAGATTGTTGAATTCTCAATCTAAAGCTTAGTATGATACAGAAAGTAGCATTCAGTGAGCTGAAAGATAGTTGTAAAGAAGAGTAAGCAGTCAGTGTCAGCAAAAATGTTTGAAGAATTAGATGTTAGTGTAAAAAACTTTATATGGGTTTACTTTCATCAAAGGCTGAAACATTTTGACCAGAACGGCTCACATCATGACAAAACAACTTTTCCTTTTGTTGGCAGATGCCAATACACTGACACAAAAACTAGGTTTGGAAATGTATATGAAATGTTTTGGGTGAATCATGACCTATTGAAGACATGCAGTAGAGTTTGTGACTATTGTACTTACAGTTAAGAGAGTGTTAAGACTGTTTCCAAAAATGAGCCAAAATGATTGAGGAAAACTATAATCTGTATGATTATCTACGGGCTTCTGTTAAAGTGATTTATTTTCTAAATGAAAACAGAGTTTATGTGTTCAGGGTTTTTATTTCATGTGACCTCCTGCTGCTCCACACAGAACCGCTCACACTCATAATCCCACAGAAACCCTCGCTCCAAAAGTTATTTTATCTGCAGCAGCTCTGACAGCAGCTCCACGGTTACTCTGCAGATGTTTATTTTCTATCAGTGTTGATGGTTCTGTGTTTATGTGTGTCTGTGTGTGGAGATCAGATAGCAACCTGTGGGTGAGGAGCGATGGTCAAATAATCACCTCCATGTTCTCCTGCAGACATTGTAGAACTTTAATAAAACAGTTTTATTTGAATAATTTTCTCCAGTTTTCTTCATCTTTGTTCTTTAACTTTAAAACATCTTCATCCGACAGTCTCTGTCTCTCAATCATCCATATTTCCGCTCCTCTGCTCTGTATAATCCCCCTCTGTAATCTGCAGTCAGCTGTCATTGTTTCTGTGCGGGACATTTGCAACGAGGCCAGATTATCATCTCATACTGTGACCTGAGCACAGAAGGATGAGGCACAATACACCCACTCATACACAGATGGACACACACACACACACACACACACACACACACACACACACACACACACACACACACACACACACACACACAGGCAGTGGACATCAAACACACCAACAAATCCACACACGCTCATTTTAACGCAAATGTGGCTGTGTAGAATCGACAAAAATACACTGACAACGAAAGATATAGATCAAGCAAACTTCCTGTGTGTGTGTTTGTGTGTGTGTGTGTGTGTGTGTGTGTGCGTGTGTGATCAGTTATTTTGGGACAAAGCTAGATCCCCAGTTCAGTTAAAGCACATTTTAGGTCACTGGTTCAGGTTCAGTTTCTGTGAGCAGTGCTGCCCCCTACAGGTTGATGGTGGTGACAGAGGAGACGACTTCCTGCTCCTATCTAAATCAAACAGACCTGCTGATTAAAACTAGCAAAACACTGAATAAGTACGTATCCATATTTTAATGAATCCTCTGCATGCAGAGGCTGAAAGAACAACAAGAGGAAGTTGAGACGAGGAGACACAGAGGAGGAGTAAAGGAGGAGAGGAGGTGCTGTAGACGACAGAAATAAAACAAACAGGAAAAGTGTTGACGGAAGAGGAAACCACATACTGAACTTAGAAACCACCTCCTCCTCCTTCAACCTCATCAACACTTTCCAATCAAAACCCTCAAAGACAATAAATTAGGTTAAACTCGGATACTTTAATAATGTCATGTTTTTTTGACAGTCAGTCAGTGTGAAAGAGTTTGCTCGCATTTTTCATTTTACTACACACCTGTCTGATGGAACAGATGTATGTCTGTTTATTTTCTCCTACTTTATTATAAAAGCACCTGCAAAATAAAGTTTACAATCAATATATAAAAGGTTGTAAATAATCACTGTATGTACAGTAAGAGCAGTATGATGCAGAAATTAACAATGAGTTGTCACTGACACATGATCTAACACGTGTTCCAAACTGTGCCATGCCAAGGACGCCAATATAGCATCAGCCTATGGTGGGGACCCCCCTTGTGGCACATTCAGGGGATGACCATGACCCCTGTTGTATCTGATTTGCCACCCAAGTGGCAACACCAAAATCCTAAACTATGATTGGCTATGTGAATTGTCAGGGTTGGGATTTATGTTAAGATACACTATTTTCCACTCTCTTTTGTTACTTTAACGTTCAAAAATGTAACACAGGAATATAAATCTGTTTGACATATTAATATTAGTAGTTTAAGTAGCCTAGATATGTTTAGTGGAGACAGAAAGGGGGAAATCAAATTTACTTGTTTGTGCGCACTAACTCTAACCTAACACTAACCTCCTGGTGACCCCATAGTGACTCCTTAGAGGGTCAGGACCCCTACTTTAAAAACCCCAAATCTACAATAGATCTTAGTATGAGACTAATCGGCAGTGTGCACAAAAATTCAACTCAGAAATAATCACGTATGAAAGCACACAAACAGAGGATGATGATGATGCTGAAGATGGTCAGAAGGTGTAGCCACTGTTCCTGTTGGATGACGGTTCTCTGCTGTCATTGACTGTCAGCCTCTCCAGAGCTGATTCAAAAAATAGAGACAAAAAAGTACTGCGTTTATAAATACATCATTAAACAAATAAAATAAATGAATATTTCTGCAGCTACAGACTTTGACCGAGCAATTATTTAAAAATCTGACATGTGATGCTTCATAAATGTACAAAGTGTTATATACATTTAAAATGAACTTGGTTTATGAAATAAGTAATTTAATAACGTAAATGAAAAATTTTAAAGGGAAAAAAAGAAGCAAATTCCCCACATATTGATGGTCAGAAAAATGTAGGTAATGTAAAAAGTTGAGCAGTTGAAAAATTATATATATTAATATTATAATTATTTGTATTGATTGCTTTATGATTTTCCATAAAGTAATGTTCGATAGGAGATGTGCTATTACATAATATGCAATATCATTATGTGCAATGACAACAATGGGAAAACTAGTACAACAGTAATGGCAAATAAGGTGATGTGCAATAACTTACTGTGAGATAATAACAATGCACAATAACAAAATGTGCAATAATACTATGTTAAATAAGGTGACGTGCAACAATGTGCAGGAAAGGAACAAGCAATGTTTCAGTGTTCAATAATGTAATGTATTTTGTTTAACAGATTTGATTATTTTTTCAATTGACCATTTTCATCATTTTTTTCATCTTTTATATTTTGTAAGGCTGACTCTATAAGAGCATATTATATGCCTTTCTATTCTATTCTGTTCTGCTCTGTTCTGCTCCGTTCTGTTGCATTCCATTCTGTTCTATTCTATTCTAAGAACAGAAAGTTAAAGATCCTCATCCTTATTATAAACTCCAGTGGATTAAAATGTGTCGAGGGTGATTCCTTCTAATTTTAAAGAGAGTCAAAGCTCTTGTAGTTGCAGAAACACATTTATGCATGAATGTCTATGATGTATATATTATATTATATTTTATTTTATTTGTTTTAAACATCTTTTTAATTACAGCATTTCTTTGTTTTTTATTTGTTTTTAACATGTTCAAAATAAAAATCAAATGTTATAGTCACCAGGGTAGGACATTCTCATCTCAACGTCTGTGCTTTGAACGACACCCTTTCCTCGCTGGTACGACACTGAAATAAAAAATAAAAAAAATAAGAAAAATAAATATATAGTCTTAGGTTAACACTCATAACAACATTATTAGGAAACCAGTGAGTGTGTGTGTGTGTGTGTGTGTGTGTGTGGGCGCGTGCGTGCGTGCGTGCGTGTGCGTGTGTGTGTTTGTGTGCATGTGTGCATGCGTACGTGCGTGTGTGTGTGTGTAAACATGTTAGTGTGGTTTATGATACACACCGCTGTGACTCTGTGTAGGTCCTATCCAGCGGTTCTGTCTCTTGTCTGAAACTGAAGAACATCAAACCAGAGACATCAAAACACAGCAGAGAACATTAATATATTCTCATTATGAGGCTGTAATGTTTTATACACGCACAGCATGTTAAATCTTAAGCCAATACCTAAGTGCTAAAAATTGCAGTTCCTGTACTGTCCACTAGAGGCTTACTCCTGCAGGGAGTCATGTAGAATTAGGGGTGTGGCCTCTAGCTGTCTGCCAGTTGTCCCCTCAGCTAATTTAGTCACTGAACTTCAGCTCTGGACCGTGTTTGGGCTGTTGGAGCCTTTTGGAGATTTTTTCACGTAAATATCAGACAAATAATCTGTCTTGCTGTGCGCTTGGTTCAGACAGTCCAATAACTCTGAGCTCCACTTTTTACAACCATTAGCAACATGTTAGCTGCCATCTGTGTCTGTGAGAACCACACCTCGACTGTGCCCTTAGTCAGCCAGTGCGTGAAGTCGGGATTGTTGTTGAGTTTGCACTGCTGTGATTACATGTATCGACTCTTATTAAAGTTACTCTTTCCACTGTGTTCAACAAACTCTCTGAGTTGATCTGGATTAATAAAATAACAGATACAGCTAACACCATTATTAGAATGTCATTCTTTGAATCTCGATGGGTAACTAGCTGCTAATGAATCAGCCAGGCACAGACTGTTTGGCTTTCATAACTTAGGTTTTGCTCTTCAACTTGACTCTGAACCAGCAATAAAGCCCCAATCAGACTGACTGTGGGGGGGGGGGCGGCTCCTGAGCCCTGCCCATCTGTGAAGGACATACTGATGCTGCTCTTTAAGATTTATTCATTTGTCTCTTCAGGATAACGACTTTATCTGTATTTTGTTCTAATCATCTTTAATCTGAAGAGTCTTAATGATCTGATATTCAGGTCAGTAAGTATTGATGTGTGTGTGTGTGTGTGTTTGTGATCTCACGTCGGCTCTGCAGAGCTCTGACAGTCGGTTTGGTGAAGCGGATCAGGAAGAGGATGAGCAGCACGCAGCAGAGCAGAGCCGTCACCACTTTGTAGGCCTTCAGCTGACCCTGTACATCTGTCTGAGCTACACACACACACGCACACACACACACACACGCACACACACACACACGCACACACACGCACACACACACACACACACAGACACACACGCACACACACACACACACACACACACACACACACACACACACACACACACACACACACACACACACACACACACACACACACACACACACACACACACACACACACAAACACGCACATTGGTATGAACCTGCAGAAGAAACTGATTTTCTTGTGATTTTCTCACATTAACAGGTCATTATTCTACACAACGTGCTGTAGATAATTGTCTAAAACCTGCTGGCAGCTGCATACGGGTTTGGGAGATACTTTTTATTATGATGCTTTTTAAATTAATTAAGAACATCTAAAATAACACGAGACTTCACTCTTTTGATAAAAGAAAGTTCAGGCATCCATTCTCCATACATTATGTTGTTTTTGAAGTCAGTTTTTTACTTTGCATGTGGTTTTGAACATATATGAGGACGGTCATTGTATACATTAAACATATTAAAGTGCACCTAAATTAAAGAATAATGGACAGATGATAACTTACAGAACAGATTTTACTGATATGAAGCATTTCTCGAAACTCTGTGAAACAAAGTCACAATAAGCTAAATTTCCAATACACTGCATTTCTAAAGGGGATTTTAAAGGCCATTGAGACAGAGAACATCTGCAACACCTGCAGGAGATTCACACACTTTACCTGACAGCCACGCAAACACAGTAATTGTGGTAATTACAGAATAGTAACAAGGGCTAGATGTTGCTAAATAGCCCCCTTTAGAGTGCAAGTTTGCAATTAATCTGCCTTTACTCTGCTCTCAATCCATCCACAATTTACCTTTTCTCCGCCCTCTCTCAGCCTTCACATACTGACTCTGCTCTCACATCACCCTAAATCTGCCTTTACCTCGCTCTTACCTCTACTTGCCCTAACTCTGCCTTTGATTGGCCCTTAATCCGCCCTCCCTCTGCTCTCAATCTGCCCACACTACCATTTCTCTGCATTTACTTCTCTTCACTCCATCGTCACTTTTTCCTCACTCCCCCATCCTTGGCCCTCACTTCGACCTTATTCTGCCCCCTTAACTTTGAACACTTCACACACTGAGACACAAATATAAAACACTGCTGTTGATTTAATGTTAAAGTAGAAAGGATGAGTGACAGTGGAGCTTCATAATGGTGCTGTTGCAAACTTGCAATGTGAAATGATCTTGTATGCATTAGTGTGAGATATTAACCTACCTGTACATTGTAGCGTCAGAATTTTACAGCTCGTATTCGGTGCTTGCCCTGCGATGTCATAACCCCCCTGCTTCTTTCTCGCCACCCAGACTGGCGGCCCCTCACACCTTCTCCGACTCTCACATTGGGAGCTCAGCAGAGTCTTAACGAGGGTCAGACTGCTTTGACAGAGGAGGGAGGATGAGTAGGATAAGGAGGATGAGGAGGGGGGAGGGTGGAGCAACAGTATCGCTTCTCCGTCACAGTCACTCGTCCATTTGACTGAGAGGAGGCCCAGAGAGTGAGCAGAGGAGGACTTGGGGGTGGGGGAGGTGGATAGGGAGGTGGATGGGGAGGTGCAGTGCACAGTCACTCCTGGGTTTGGTCGTACTCGAGACGGTGCCAGTGAAGTTCGTCTCAGTTGTGTTTGGGTTTGATTCTGGGGGACACACAGAGTGACAAACACAAAAAAACAAAAATGTCAGCATCTGAAGAGGTGTTACATAAAAGGATAGAAGCAATGTTTTAACCATAAAGCCGTGAGCGTCATTTCTGCATGAAAACTTCAGTAACATATGTGCACCATAGTGGGTGCTGACTACTCAAGGCCCCTGTGAAGGGAGGGGCCCTTAAAAAAATCTTAAGTTTGTGTTTGTATTTTTTCTCTCTAAGTCAGAACTGGACGAAATAAATTAACATGTTTTCTCAACTTTGTCTTATCTCCAAAAACGATTAAAATGCTTAAAAAAGATGAATTTATTTATACGTTATACATAATTATTGTTTAATTTAAACTGCAATAGAGAACACAAAGTTAGAGTTATTTAAAGTTGTAAATTCTAGTAATAATGATACCTGTATGATACCATGGCAACAACAAAAAAAAGTCAGGTTTTTAATCAACAAAAATTGCAAGCAAACTTCTGCACACTGTCTCAATTGCACAAAAAACATTTGCAACATTTCTGTATGGTAACTGAACAAACGTGTCACTGTGACTCGGACTCGAACACAATCCGAGAGTAACTGAAGGTGTTTTTATAACCGCTCCGTCACTTTTCAAAATGCACTTGTGTTTCTGTGACGACCACAAACTGGTTTCACTTCAGATCTGATCGGTTCAGACGACGGCCCCACATTCACAGGATGAATTTTAAGTTTCTACCAACACGCAAACTGTCTGTATACAACCTGACAACACGTTAACAATAATATACAACTAATGTGTTCAGAGGGAAGTGTTATAAAGATTGAATGATGTTTTTCTAACCAGCATTGAGAGTAATGTATGCACACAGAAATATTTAAACTGAATGAATCATTAAAATAATCCCTGTAATATATTTGATTTATTTTCTGTAAACGGCAAAACTATTCACCAACCTTTTCATCAATTAATCAATCAATTTTTATTTGTATTGCGTCAACTTATAACATAATTCATGAACACATGAAAAACTTTGTTTCTTAAAGAAAAGAAAAAAAACATTATTATCACCTGTCATGTCTAAAGTTAACAAAGGGAGTAATAACATTAAAGTCATTACGTTCGTGATGACTTCATTTAATTTCTATGGATTCTGTATATGTGCGGTGTGTATCATTTTTTTTTACAGTGTATCGCTGTTAATCAGAGGTTAACTTTTAGTTTTCATCTAACACAAAAGCAATCAATTCCCGGAGAAGTTTTCTGATGTTTATTGCTTTTTTTGCTATTATTTTCTCTGATCTAAAACAAAAAAAAGAAAGTTATTAGATGAGATATATATTTTTTTCTTCCTCAAATTCTTCACAGATTGTGATTGTGAACAGATTTTGTAAACGCTGCTGTACAGCATTGCTGGAAACAAAGTTACGTAGTTGACAATAAAGAGTATCTATCTATCATACCAAGAATCTGTACTTCCAAACTGAAGGTGATAAAGTAAATTAAATGTTAAGAAGAACTTTAACTGTTTCAATTAAGGCATTGATAAAGAAGAATATAAAAAATACAGATTTGTTTTCATCAGATATCATTAAGTTAAAGAATCATGATCATTCAGAAATTAAACACAAAGAAAATATTTTATTATACTCGTGTACACAAATGAATCTTTTCCGTTAAGAAGTGATTAGAAAACATGATTTCACACTACTGTCCAAAGTTTAAATTATATCATTTATTTTTCATATTTTTTCTGATAATGTTTGTGATGACTGATCTGAAGATGAAGAACACAATCAATCAGTGTTTTTCTCTCTCACTTTTGTGTTGTCCTGTCATTTTTACACATTTTATATCACCAAAATCGGTGCGTCGTAAACCAAAGAGATGTTAGTCAGCCAAACAAAGTATTCAAATGTTGTGATGTATAAAAAGTAAAAACACATTATTTCAAAGAACATATTTGGACCTAAAACATTTCTAATATTTTTAACGGTGATATGAAGCAACCTTTTGCTGAAAATGTAACGATATATATATTTTTTTCATTTAATAATGCAGTTTTGAATGCAAGTTCTGTTTTCTGCTCATTATTCTCCAAATATATAATTTATGTTTCTCATTTTTGTCTGATCAAGTTTGTGCCGAGTCAATCATCTCCTTTTTTTAAACACATTTTCTAATACTTCATATCACCAGATATGTACGTCCTCAAATAAAAGATTATGTCGATAAAATATGAAAATTCATAAAATATGTTAAACGTTGTCATGAATCAAAAGGTAAAGCTGAGTTTTGCCTCACTTATTAAACTTTTTTTTTTTTTTTTTTTTAGCATATTCTTAATTTAGGTGAACAATTTTTTGGAACTTAATGATATTTTTTAAATTCAGATCAGATGAAACAGGATTTTAAAAAGCGATAATCTCCTAACGTCGCCTGCAGGAGGTTAGTTTACAAAGCATTATAAGTTTTATGTACAGTTTATAAAAACATCTGATTGTTCTAATATTCAAACTGTTGTTTAAATAGTTATATATCAATTTAAAGTAACAAAACATACTTAAAAAGTACTACTTACTTGTTGAGACTCAGTGATGTGTGTGTGTGTGTGTGTGTGTGTGTGTGTGTGTGTGTGTGTGTGTTTTCTTTGTGTACTTGTGTGGACCAACACTTGACAAACAGCCCATTGTGACGACTTTCTGATTTGTGTGGATGATTTGTAAAGTCTACCAAGAAAAAGCAGAGAGACATTTTTTTTTTATTTGAGGCTGCTTAAATGTCACTTCTAACACTGTGTGTGTGTGCTGGGGTGTGTTTGTGTGTGTGTGTGTTTGTGTGTGAGAGTATTTTGAGGTTTGGATTCCCGTCAGCGGCGTGTTTTTAAGACGTTTAAACAAACAGTGTCACACAGAATTTGCATTTCTCTGGTTGTCTCATAAAAAAAAAAACGTTTGGTTTCGGTTTACGGAGAAAAATTAAAAAACCCCAAAACCTTTACAAAAACGACGTAACCTTGTCATGACACAAATATATATTTCAGTCCATATTTAAATCTTCAAAAAGATAACTGAATATTTTTTCTGAATCCTTATTTCCTTATTCCTTATATCTTTATGTATGAGTTTATTTAACGTTACATTTTTATGGCATTTAACAGCATTTTAACCATCATATCTCCATATATTCACAGCCTGACATGGTTTAATGCCGTCCACTGACCCGTGACTTTAGAGATTATTCTATCATGAAGTTTAAAAAATGTGAACGTTCTGCTGTAAAATAGGAACATGACAGAGATGCAAATTGTCACATGAGGACACTTTAGTGATGATCTGAATGTAAACACGGTCAGTTGTATTATTTCTAAAAGGACCATCAGTGTGATTTTCATTCCTGTACATTGTTCTGTCTCATAGTCGGAAACAGACATTTTTTATTTGCAGTGTTTTTAAAATCTGTCATTGTAGACTTTCTTCCTCCATACCTGATCTTTGTCACGCCTGTGTCTCTGCTCTGCCTCTTGTTAGATCCTTTCTGACTTCAGTTTTTGCAGATTCTTTTCTTCCAGAATCTGAACAAAAACTACGCTCACTACAGAGCTTTGTCTTCTCTTCACTATTCATGTTGAAGTTTAATTAAAAGTCTCTGTTTTCACTTGTGAAGCTCTGCCTTCACTTGTAATGTTAAACTGAATACAGTTTATTTCACCATCAGTACCATCACACTCTCTGCTCTCTACATGACGAACACTTATTTTAAAACAAACAAATTAAAGATGATTATTTTCCTGCTTTCTTCCTAATTATCTTTAAGAGAAAAAGAAAGACTAGTGTGCGCACATCCAAGCAAATTGCATACTGTACATTGTACAAGGACAAATAAAGTGTAGACTGCAGAAAAAAGAGAACAACCTTTTTTGAAAGCTGGGAGCTGAACAGTGTGCGGACCTTTCTCTTTTTTCTTCTAATTAAGTTTTCATCACAGGTAAAAGAGCTCGTTTGCTTTGAAATCAACATTTTAAACTTTTATTCACTTCATTCCGGCCTAACGTGTTAAACTTTTCAAACATCTCTTTAACACACAGATTCTAAAGTCTTGATTTTATTTCATTTATTTTTGCAAAGATGATTTAATTAAGTGTTTTTGTCTGATTTCACGGGGAAATCTGAGGAGAGAGGATGACTCAGCAGACAGTGACGGCGAGAGTCAAACTGATGCCGCCACACTTTGGAATTTTTTCCCTTAATATTAAAATTGTCAATCACTGACTTTTATTGTTTCTGATGTTTATTTTTACACTTTATGTGTTGTATGTGTAAGGTTTTTATTGTCTTTCAGGCTGTTTTATTCTACTTGTGTGTTGTTCAGTGTTTTTATTGTAAAGCATTTTGAAAAGGGGCTCCATAAATAAAGTATCTTTCTCTTTTTTTATCTCTTAAATGATAACGAAGAATTTACAATCTACCAGCTGAGCTAACGTTTCACTGTTTCATCTAAATTATTATTTTATTCAAACATTTCTTATGTCTTATATCTTATTAGTGGATCTTTATGTGGTTATTTGACCTTAAACCGTATATTTGATTTGATTTGTTCAACCTGCTGTTATTTTTTTGCAGTTTATTTCTTTCTTCGTTTTCTTTCTTTAAACTGGTTTCTAACTGGTTTGAAAAGACAAAGTCACCCGAGTCTTTGCTTTCCTTCATTTGCTCCATAATTGTGTTTGAGTTTAGGATTTAATTGATCACTTTAAAAACTCGCCATAGTTTGATTGTGACCTATACGCAGCGGAGAGGCCAACTTGGTGTGAGCTCATTCACAGCTTCAGGTCCTAAGGTCTGGCCTTTCTTAAATCTAGATGTAACAAGAGAACACACACACACACACACACACACACACACACACACACACACACACACACACACACACACACACACACACACACACACACACACTAATGTGAGTGTTCAGCTCTGAATAAAGTGGATATAATGAGCTTTTCTTCATTA